GAAAGGGCCAAGTCTGGGAGGAATGGGCTCTGGCGGGGCTGTGTTTTGGGGGGGACATTAATCCATAGGTTGGTGGCTAGAGCCGGAAGGCCCTAGGGGACCGAGGTTCTTACTGTGTCCTGTGCTTTGAACCCCTTAGCATCTGCTGAGGCACAGGGACCCCTTCTCAGCAAAAGGCACTGCATGCAGAGCGTAAACTACCCAGAGACACAGAGAAAGCCATTCCCGTGGACGCACACCTGTCAGGGGAGAAAGCTTGTGAAACACCTGGGACTTCTTCACTCACTCGGGGCGTGACCAGGCCCAGGGCTGGGTCTGCGAGGTCTCTGCTGGTAGCAGGGTCTTGGATGGTCCTCTCACCCTGGGGTCTTGCGGGGGGAAGCTGTCAAGAGACTGGTCACACGTCGGGGCTCCATGCACTGTGCGCATGCCCGCCATCACCTGAGTGCCCCACGCAGACGTGGGGGAGGCGTGAGGTCCTGTGGGGGAGGCGAGAGGCTGCGGCCCAGGGAGAAGAGGTGGGCGGACACCCGAGTCGCGGGCGGAGGGACGCGATGGGGGCAGGGACCTAGCTCCTCGTCACCTCCAGGAGCGGCAGAGCCTGGGACTCAGTGTGGGATCAGGAACTCCCGGACTCAGTGTGGGATCAGGAACTCCCGGATGTCCCCTGACGCCCCTCTAGGTCTCAGACGGGAGCAGGCGTCACCCCTGGTCCCCGGGGCAGGCCTGGCCCCAGGGCCTCACACAGGAGGGGCGGGGCCTGAGAGCTGACGGCTGTGGAACACTTGACCTACCAGTCCCCTCACGAAGTCCCGTGGGGTTGACGAGCCGTCGGACAGCCCTAATCAACAACAGACATTAAACTGGCTGCCAGGGACAGAATGTCCGCACAGGATGGGACAGGAGGGGCCAGCTCTCGCCCCCCGCTCTGGGGCCTCCCTTCCTGGAGCAGCCGGCTGCCCCGCAGATCTGGTCTCTCCCGCCACCCCCTGTCCCCTGTCCCCGACCTTCCCTCCCTGCAGCTGGGGCGACCCCAGCTCCAGTCAGCATCTGGTGGTTGCAGTTGGCGGGCAGCCTCCCAGCCCAGGTCAGCCGCATGCCACCGAGTGCAGGTGGGCAGGGACCGCCCACCGAGCTGCTTTCCGGGGACTGGAGGGTGGGGGGGGCCGGCAGAATGCAGTCCTCGGGGTTGACACCAACAAGAAGTAGCACATCTGTACTGCGGGACATGGGCTCTTGGGAGCCGTCAGCCTGTGGCGGCCACAGCGACAGTCAGCATTTCCTGAGCAGCTGCTGTGTGTCTGAGCCACATCAGGTGCCCCGACTCAGTGGCGAGCCCCCTGCCCTTGGGGCTGTCGTGGTCCCAGCGCCACCCGTACTGCTGAGGCTCCGGAATGTCCCAGCAGGCTCCGGTGCTGAGGCCTTCACACCCCAGTTCCCTGCTTGGTAACAGCAGCCAGGCTCTGCCCTGAGGCATTTGGACCAGGGCCCCTGCTTCCAAAGACCACGCCCCAGTCTCCTCCTGGAAGTGCTCACCTGCAGGGGGTCCCCCCCCCCCCCGCCAACCCTGCACACCTTCTGGATGATGTCATGAAGAACCTGTAAGGGGGGCCTGATTGTCCAGCAGCGGGGAGTCTTCCTGCCCATCTTTCTGGGGCGCAGGCTGGCATCAGTCAGGGAGGGTCTTGCGGGGAGCTCAGGGGGCCAGGCCTGCCTCTGGACTCGCCCTCCACTGGTTAGGACCGGCCTCTTCAGGGCGCCGGGCGGCGATGGTCTCCCACCGCACGTGGGACCTGCAGACTGAGCTATGCAGGTGCCTTGTTTCTGGGCTGAGGAAGCAGCCGAGTCAGCAGGCCAGAGCCCAGTGAGGGGGGCTGGGGGGCCACGCCATAGCTGCCGCCCCCGGCCTCCCCGCCAGGACCTCCCCCTGGGTGGCCCCAGTGGGTCCTCGAGAACTCTGCTGTGACCGTCGCTTTCCTGTTGGCGCCTCTGCCGGGTGCGCACAGGGAGCCCCGCTGAGAGTCACCCCTCAGGCTCAGGGCAGCTCGGGGCTGGCCCAGCCCATGGCAGACACCGGGCAGAGGCACCCACAGCACTGTGGCCAGCCACTCACACACGTCCCTGGGGACGTCTTCTCTCGTCCCCACACTCTAGTCAGGCCCCCCTTCTGTGTCCACGGCCCTCAGCTCCCTTTCGGAACGGTCACCTTTCAACCACCGTAGCTGCCCAGCTGAGCCAGAATCTCCTGCGGGGGCAGCAAGGTAGGTGGAGGCCTTGACCGAGCGAAGGGTGCCCGGGACCTCGGCCCCAGTGGGAGGGAGAGGACAGGAGCTGGGAGGTTGGGGGCCGCGGTTCCAGGATGCTCGGGCGGGAAGCGTGGCTCCAAGGGGCGTGCGTGCTCCGGGTTTGGGGGCCGCGGAGTGGCGGGGACCCGGAGGGCCTCCTTTTCCTCCGACGGGACAGACGGCAGCCAAGGTGCAAGCTCTGAGCATGGGCGGGAAGGTCTGACTGGTCCCCGTTCTGCAGTGGAAGTGACTGGCCACAGACAGGAACAGGGACACTCATCTCCAGGGACAAGAGGGAAGGCAGAGGACAGGCGACGAGGGAGGGAGGCAGGCAGGCGAGCTGGTGAGCCAGACACTCCTCCCGGTTCCTACAGCCGCAGGAGGCCGGGCAGTCGGAGAGGGCGAGGGTGGCGGAGCGGGAGCCGTCATCTGGGTGTGAGGGCCGAGGGCCCGTGCGCAGAGGTCCTCGGGGGTCGTTCAGGGTGGCCGTGCTTTTCTCCAGCTGCGTGGGCTGTGGAGGGAGGTCTCTAGTGCAGGACTGGGTCTCAGTGGTTCTGCCAGGTGAACAGGATGGCAGGAGGGGGACAGGTGTGCAGAGGGTGGTGGGTGTGCGACTCGGGCTTGGCCTTTCAGCTTTACCTCTCCGTTCATCTACTTCTCCATCCATTTGTCCATCCCTCCATCTGTTCATCCATCTCTCCATCCATCCGTCCGTCCATCCACCTGTCCATTTGTCTATCTCTTCATTCATCCATCTACCTACCTGTCCATCTGTCCATCCATCCATCCATCCATTTGTCCATTCATCCATCTGTCCACCCACCTTTCGTTCGCTCGCCCATTCCACTGTCCATTGTACACAGCTACTTGCCATTGGGGAAACCCATTCGGAGCATAAATGGGCACCTAGGACCACCCGCTGGCTCCAGGGGGGGGTTGGACACTCCCCGCGCACCCCACCCCCTCTCAGGACCCTGGTGTGAAGAGGGCCAGGTTCCCAGCTGCTCCGGGCCTGGCCTGATAAGTCACTGAGGTCTTGTTAGCTGAGAAACGAGGCAGGAGCAACGTCCGCCCTGTGGGCTGGAGGGATGGAGGGAGCTTGTGTCTGCACAGCAGAGAAGGCTCTGTGCTCAGAGGTGCCGACCGTCATGTCACTGGTGGCCCTCGCTGTCCCACCTGCACACCCCAGGCCCCTGCAGACGCACGCACTCAGTTCCCCTCACAGCACCGAGCGACCCCCACCTTTGTGCCACCGGCTCCCTGACAGGGTGGGGCTCTGGGCTGCAGCCGGGACTCACTGCCGTGGGAGTGATTGGCAGTCATCACTTGGCCCAGATGGGCCCTGGGGAAGGGGGGCCTGGGAAAGGTGGGGTGGGGTGGGAAGGGGGCCAGGGGAGAACCTCCCTTTCTCCAAGCCGTGGAGGAGGGGAGGAGGAGGCGCACCGGGAAGACGGGAGTTAGCGAAGGTTCTAATCAAATATTTATCTGTTAATTGATCCCCTGAGCCGCCGCTCCCCGTCCCCGGCCATCCCACAGTTCCCTCCTGGTTCTCCTGCCCCTCCCTCCTCACCACCCTCCCACCCTCTGGGCCGAGTCCTCCTGCACCCTGAGCCTGCCTCACTCCCACACCTGGGTGCTCTGGGCGTGTCTTCGTGTGTGCATGCACACGCGTGTTTCCCTCCCACTGTCAGCACAGACGCTGCCCCAGTTTCTGCAGAGAGGGAGGGGACCCGGTGACCTTGCCAAGGAGGAGAAGGATAGGAGAAGTTAGGGGTGTCAGGGGTGAGACCGCGGAGGCTGGCTTTGGGGGTTTGGGGAATGGGGGGCTGGGCCCTGGACACAGCGTTGACCTCAGACCCCTATCTACATGGAGGGGTCAGGCGGCCCGACATGGGGGCAAGGCTGGGGCCGGAGGCAGAGGGCCTGGCAGGGTCTTTGACTCACCGTCGCCCCCTGTGGCCAGGCCTCTCCGGGCACCTTTTACTCTAACAACTGACCTGACTTTGAGGTCACTGCCTGAAGGGCTCTCCCCTCCCCCACTGGACTGCAGACCCCGCAGAGGCAGGGGCTGCCTGTCCCCACCCCTGGCCCCCAGTGCACGGTCGTTAGGTGGGTAAGCAGTGGCCAGATGGAGGCTGTGCCGAGAGCAGGTCCAGCATGCTCTCCAGAAGGAGCGCCTGTCTTGGGGCAGGGGAGACAGACCAGGACACAGACACCCAGCGTGCCCGGTCAGCGTGGCGGGGGAGTGGGGGAGCACACTCGGAGCACCACTCCACGGGGCTGGGGGAGAGCAGTCCTGCGTGTCAGATTGCCCACGCCTGCAAAGGGCCCTTCCATCCAGTGAGGGCTGGCACCTGTCTGTCCCCTGCAGACACGCTCAGAAGGCTAGCGAGTGCCTTGTCGGCCCAGAGAGGCTGCTGCCAGCCAGCCCTCGGTGTGCGTCTACAGAGAGGACACCCAGCGGGAAAAGCCAGAAGGCACCCCAGCCCACCTTCCCCCAACACCACAGGGGGCCCAGCCCCTCCCCTGGGACTGAGGGAACGTCCCCCAGGACTGCTTTCCATGCCCTTCACTGTTGGTCCCCACAGCACCCAGACTGCAGGGGGTGGCTGGGGATGGGGGCCAGGGCTGGGCCTCCCCGGGAGTCTGACCGGCCTTCTCTCTCTCTCTCTCCCTCCACAGGGCAGTCAGGACGCCACGGCTCCGCCCGAAGCGATGGCCCAGCCCTACCCCCCCGCCCAGTACCCCCCGCCACCGCAGAACGGCATCCCCGCCGAGTATGCCCCACCCCCGCCGCACCCCACGCAGGACTACTCAGGCCAGACCCCCGTCGCCCCGGAGCACGGCATGACCCTGTACACACCAGCACAGACCCACCCTGAGCAGCCGGGCCCCGAGGCCAGCCCGCAGCCCATCACCGGGGCCCAGACCGTGCCGGTAAGGGGCCCCCGAGACCCGAGGCTTCAGGAAGCAGGGCCCCCCCAGGGACGGCTCAGGAGGGTGGCAAGGCAAGCCGGTGGGTGGAGAGTCAGGGTCCACAGTGGGGGTCCCAGCCATCGTCCCACCCACCTGCAGCTGCTCACCCCCCGTCACCAAGCATCTTTCTGGTGACACCTGCTCAGCCAGGCACAGCGGGGTGGGCAGCCACCAAGCCCGAAGCAGGCCCACCACCTGCAGCTGCCCCCCCACCTCTGCTCCCTGAGCCAGACTTCAACCCAGCTCTCACCTCACCTGGGAGACAGAGCGTGTCCCGGGCTGCCAGGGAAGCGAGGGAAATGGCCAAAGCCGGGCCGACAGCCTGGTTCACCCGGTGTCCCGGGGGCAAGCGGCAGGGCTGGCAGCGGGGGAGGGGGCAGGGCCGCAGAGCCGTCTCTGTGGCAGCCATTCCTATCACTTCTAATCACTTGTAACCTACCTGCTTGGCTGCCCTCCAATCAGATAGCTTCAATTATGTGGTTGTAATAATGCAGCTCTGAGGGGAATGGGCTGAGCCCTGCACTTTCCCGATCGGAAGGAGTGTGGTGAGGAGTGGCTGTGCCCTGGGCCAGCCCTCCGGGAGACCGGCCTGCCCCGACCCTCCCTGCACTCCCTGATGCATTCATGAGGTGCCGGCCACCACCGCTACGCTGGGGCCTCGGGGTCATGCAACCGTCCTGCTGGCTCAGCCCCAGCGCTGGCTGGCCAAGCTGGGCAAGGGGCCAGCAGCTCCAAGCTGCACAGGAGAGGCAGTGCCCTGGCGGCTCCTGATGGGTGCACCCCAACCGTGCCCCCCCCTGCCCTCCCCCAATCCAGCCTGGCTCCCAGGGTGCTGCAGGGATCCACATATCCCCACCCTCCCTGTGTGGACAGCATCATGTGTGCCCTCTAGGGCGAGAGCCCAGCCAGCCCTGGGGCCGGACTGGACAGACCCTCATCCGGGGTGCGGCCAGGCCTTTCCTCCCGGCCCGAGTCTGCAGGAAGCCATGAGACTCCGGTGGGCTGCTGTCCCTGGTGTGGCCTCTCCTGGAGACGCCCCCAGAGCTCCTACAGATGGACAAAGCCGGGTGTGTGGGTCAGAGACCCGGGAACAGGCAGACCTCCACTGCTTTGCATATGGTTTGATTCGCCAGTCGTGGCCTGTGCCTGCTCGGAGAAGAGGTGAGCGCGTCTGGGCCAGCTGGTCTCTGTCGGAGGGACGGCAGCAGTCAGGGGGCATCTGGTCAGGCCTCACGATTGCACGCGGACTCAAGTGAGCCTGGGATTTGCCACCAGGAGACAAGGGGGTCAGATGCACGACAGCAAGTGCGGGCGCCACAGAAGGAGCCCGAGGCCTCCTCCACAGCAGGGTCCCTGCCTTCAATCACCAGGTGTTTGGGGGACACCGGCTGTGCACTGGGCACCGAGTACATGAAGCAGTGACCAGCCCTGCCCTGAGACGGCCACCGGGTCCCACCAGCCAAGGACACTAAAGTTGAAGGGGCCAGTCGCGGACTCTGTGACTTTGAGAGCCCATGGCCCCTGAGGGGACCCAGCGTCCCCAAGAGCAATCCCCACCGAGGGGGTGAGAGGCTCACTGCTCTGACCGAGCACCAGCCCCGGGGGGTCGGCAGCCTGAGCAACCTTCTTTCTGCTGGGGGCTCCTCAGGTTCTGCTCAGGGTCAGGGTCTGCAGGCCCCCATCTGGGGACCAGGACAGGATGCTCTTCTCCAGGCCCTGGGCCGATGAGCAGTGCAGATGGAAGTCACCAGGCAGCCAAGGCCAGTAGCTGTCCCGTGAGACATCAGCTGAGGCTGAGGGTGTGAGTGCCCCACCCTGGAGCACTGACTCCTGTGGTGCCTTCCGCCTCCGCGTAGATGGCAGCCCTGAGCTCCGGGTTGGAGCTCCGGGCGGAAGGGCAGAGGAGGTGATGAGTCCGCCCCTGCTCCCAGGCCCTGGGGAGGCCCTGCCATGCCGCCTCCGGCTTTTGGGGTGCAAGCAGAAGACACCAGCGGCGCCCATGGAACCAGTGCGGTGGCAGCTGAGACACAGCAGGTGGCATCGTTCAGAAAGAGCCCACAGTGGACGCACACTCTGCCCACGGAGGGGGCCGCCCAGTGCCCCATGTAGGACAAGCCCTCCTCAACTGAGGGCTGGAGGCTGCGGGCAGGAAAGGCCTCCTCTGAGGCTGGCGCCCCGCCCACTGGGGGGCGGGTGAGCGTGTCCGGCAAGCCGCTGACGGCCATTGCACAAGAACTCAGGGGCTTTTGAAGGAGTGGGGGCTGGGGGGACGGGGGGCGCGCTGCTGCAGAGAAAGGAGGTTCGCAAGGCCTGCTTCAGCTTGTCTCCCACCAGCAAGCCTGGGGGCCATGCCCGCAACAGGGCGCAGCTCCTCATCTGCTGCGGGGGCCAGTTGCTGGGCAAAAGGGGCTTCAGGCTCCTGGAGGATGGGAGGGCAGTATCTGGGGTCCATCCAAGGCCACCACCGCGGCACCCAGCCTTGGAAGGGTGGGTATGGGGGTGAAGGCTAAGGTGACAGGGACGCGGAAGGACGCGGAAGCAAAGCCGCCTCGGAGGGAAGGGAGCGTTTGCCTGCGTTCACGCACTGAAGGCGGAAGGCTTAAAAAATGGCGAGGGCGTGCAGTGCGCAGAGCCCCCGGAAGGGCGGCCGGGGCTGCCTGGGCCAGTCTGATAAATGGTGGGAAGGCCTCTGTCTGCCCCCGGCGGCCGGCGTGCCGTCACACTCGGGGGCTTCTCGGCGCATCTCGCAGTTTTACAGTCATTGAGCCCATTTATCTGCCTCCGCGCAGCTGCGCTTCGGGCCAAGGGCGCCCTCCTCACTGGTGTCCTGGCCCCACCCGTGGCTCCGTCTGCACAGCACTCCGCCACCCCGAGCCTCGGCGGCTCCCCTTAGGGTTTGGGGGGGGGGATCTGAATCTTGTTGACACCTGGTGGGCTCAGTCTCCTCTGGCCCTCCCCCCACTCCCTACGTAGGGCTCCCCTCTCTCCTCTGAGTACCAGCCGGGCCTCCAGGCTGGGTTAGCCACTGCCCTCTGCTGGCCTGAAGTCAGCATTGCATGTCCCTCTCCCACCTGGATTCCCCATCCGGTGCCCAGGAGCAGCGGAGAGGGTGCAGGCCTGTGGAATGCAGGGGCCGTGGGGGTGTGACAGAGGGCACCCGGCCCACCCTGAGTGCTGCGTGGAAAGCCACACCTTGGGGTAGCCAGAGGGTGGGCCCCAGACCTCGGCAGGGATCGCTGATGCCCGGATGAGTCCTCTGGGGGCTTAGCGCAGGCTTGCTTTCTGCAAGGAAGAGCAGCACCAAGCAGGACAGCAGGGGACCTGGGGCGGGGGGGGGGGGCGGGCGGAGGGCGGGTCAGGAGATGCCCCCCGCTGATGGCCCCCCGCGGCGGCCCTTGCTGATCCCCACAGAACAGGGCCTGGATCTCCAGCAGCCCACCCCTGGGCACACGTCCGTCCCACAGTCCAACAGAGGGCTCCGAGGACACCCACCTACGTGCTGGCACCTGGGCTGCTGCACGGGGTGGCCACCTGGGTGACACCGGCCTCCAAGGGATGGCGGCTTCAACCCCATGCTGGGCACTCGCTTCTCCACAGGAACGCAGAGTCTAGGAGGCGTGAGGACAAGAAGCTCCTGCAGCCCTCCGGGCCTCTCCCGCTGGTCCCTGGGCGCATGTCCTCGGTCCCGCTCGGCAGCCCTCTCCTGTGGCACCTGCTGCCCTGGAGCCTGGGCAGAGGTCTCGTGGCTGAGCACTGGAAAGGATGGCCTCTGAGGACAGCCGCTCTGGAGTTCAGAGAGGGACCCTGGCCACTAGCCAGCGGGCGGCCCTGGGCCAGCCTCCGCCCCTGGGGCTCCATTTCCTGGGCCTCAAGCACCGCGGCCTCACCCCGCCCTGCGCCAAGGGGGCGGGGCTTGTACTGGTCAGCACTCCTCTGGTTGCCTGTGACAGACGCCCACCAGAAAACGGCCTCCCACCTCTCGCTTCCAGCCCACCACCTCTGCCCCTCAGGAGACTCGGGAGACCACAGCCACCCACTCCTGCAAGTTCCAGCACAGGCTGGAGGACCTGCCCTTCCCTCCCTCCAGAGAGCAGGAAGGCTCCGCGTGGCCCTCCTCGGGGGTCCTGGCCTGGACGCCGGCCCTGCAACAAGGGGGCAGGTCTGAGCAGTGTGCTGGGGACAAGGTCCCAAGGGGACCCGGGAGAGGAGCCAGAATGGAGACGGGAAAGGGAAGGAGGAATAAACATGGCGTTCTCATCTCATTGTCCTCACTGTGCCACGTTCTCCGCCCACCAGGGGTGCCTGGGGGCCGAGGAGCCCCGTGGCAGGGAACCCGGCAACTGGCCACCGCCCTACCTGTCCCCTCTGAGCACAGCTCCTGGACACACAGGCTCCGCCCTGGCTCGCCAGAGGGCTGCTCCAGGGCATCGTCGGCTGGCAGTCTGCAGTTCTGCCCCATGAGTGGCATACAGGTGGCCTCAGGCAACCGGTCATGTTGGGACACCTTGGTCAGCAGCCACTCGTCACCGCGCCTGCGTTGATGGAGCACCTGCTAACCACCTTCTGCACTGGGACTCGGCAGGGATGGACTCAGGCTACGGGCCACCAGCTCAGTATCCTGACCCCAAGCCACCTCGGGGCCTCATCCCAGCCCCGTCCTCCCCGGGAGCTGCTGGGGGCAGGGCCTCCTTAGCAGCAGCTTTGCTTCCTGGCCCCCGAGACTCTGAGAGCCCCTCTGTTGAAACCGCGTTCGGGTGCAAAACGGGGGCCAGCTGTGAAGGACGGATCTTGGAGCCTCAGAAGGGCGTGGCCGCCGAAGTGCCCAGCAGCAGCGAGGGGCTAGAATTTGAGGCAGCCCCCTTGTGGCCGAAGGGTGGGGGCAGTACCCCCACCTGTAGGTGTGTGTGCCTGGTGGCGCATTCGGAAATGTCCTCTTTCTCATCAGGCCTTGAAAGCCAGAAGGGCCCCTGTCAGGCAAAAGGGCAAACCCAGGGCCTCGAGAACCAGACAGTCCACCGAGTCAAGGGACTGTGGTCCGTCCTGGGCCACGCGGAGGAGTGGGGGCACAGCTGGCCAGGGAGGCCTTGGCCCTGCGCTGGTTTTCCTGGGCGCAGCTCAGGCAGGGGCCTGCAGGTGGCGCTGCGGTGCCGTGTGCTGTTTGCCCAGACACCTTGGCAGATCTGCTCAGGAGGGAGGCGGGTCGGAGGGGCCTGGGAGGGCCTGGTCTGTAGACAACCCCCTCCACAGGGTGGGAGCTGAGAGGGCCCCTCACATCCAGCCTGTCTCCCCACAGCAGACAGACGAGGCGGCACAGACGGACAGCCAGCCCCTCCACCCCTCCGACCCCACAGAGAAGCAGCAGCCCAAGAGGCTTCACGTCTCCAACATCCCCTTCCGGTTCAGGGACCCCGACCTGCGGCAAATGTTCGGGGTGAGTGTGCCCCCTCCAGGCCCCCAGCGTGGCTCCCCCAGGTTTGATGCCCCCACTGCCTCCCGGTCCGGCCGGCTCTGGCCTGAGCCCATGGGAGAGGAGGGAGGGATGAGGGCGGCACAGTGGCAGGGTGCCACCCCCCACCCCCCTCCAGACATCAGCCCACCTGTCCCTCAGGCTCCACAGGGAGGCCAAGGCCAGTGCCTGTCAGGTCATCGATCTGCTGTGAGGGGCGCAGGCCCTCCGGGCTCCTCAGAGGGCACCTGGAGGGACGGCCCAGCCTCCTAGCTGCCCAGCAGCCGTCCAGCCCCCCCCCCCACTGCTGTGTGCCTTGAGGCCGGCACTCAGCCTCTCTGTGCCAGCGTGGGGGCTCCCAGAGAACACGCAGTGGGCGGGACAGGGCCTCAGCCAGGCACTGTGAGGGGCTGTGGGGAGGGACCCCTGTAGTCCTGCGATCACTTTATCCTGTCACTTGACTGACCACCTAGCAGGTGCCAACACCCACTGGGTGCTGGGCTGCAACGTGGGCGGGCAGGTGGGCAGCAGCCAGGAGCCTGGCCCTGAGCAGGGCAGCCTCTGGGTCCCAACTGCCCATCACGGAGGACACATGCGCCAGCCTGTGTTGACTGCCCCCCACCCTCCATCACTCCTGCATGCCCTGAATCCCCCTGACCTCTGCCACGAGTGAGATGGGCCCGGGGTCCTGAGCCCCCCATGCCACCCCCACCCCAGGTGGGTTTGTCAGGGACAGGCCCAGCACCCACGCCTGACCTTGCCCCAGATATCCACTCCCCTCCTTGGGGGCCTTTGGATTTGAGGTTAGACTTGGCTGGAAGCCGGCAGGATTGAGAATCATCTCGGCTCCCGACCCCAGGAGCCTGGGGCCTCTCCGGGTGGCGGGTATCCCTGGCCCTGCGGGACCCATCACCTCACCCAGCATCTACACGGTGCCTGTCCACCCCCCCCCCCACAGGGTGGGGACGGCACTGCTGGCTGGCTGCATGTCACCTTGCTGCCCCGTGACACCCACCTCGGGATATTTCAGGGTGGAGGGGAGCCCCACGTGTGTATGCTCTGGAGGCCCCGGGACGGGCCCCTCAGGAACTCACTGGCATTTTGGGGGGCCTGGTCACAGGTTGTCAGTCTTGTGAGCTGGTGAGAAGGACAGGGCCACCCTGTGTGTCCCAGGCCAGTGCCAGTGTGTCCTGCACAGGCTGCCGACCCACGGAGGCTGTCTGGGCGCTTTCTCTTCCAGGGGCTCCTGCTCCCCTCAGCACCCCCTTGTGGGGAGGTCTTTTCCCTACAGTGTGAATTGGGGTGCCTGTCCGCAGCCTGTGGCAGAGCCCTGGCATCCTGGCAGGGAAAGCTCTCTAGGCCAGGAGGTGGGGAGGGCGCCCCTGTCCCCTCACAGCCTGTCCTGTCCCTGCCCTGGTGGAGGGACCAGGACAGAGCGCCAGACTCCGCCCCGGTGCGGGGTCTCCCGGGGAGCAGGCTGCCTTAACCCGCCGCCGTCTCCTGTCCCCCCACCCCTCTCTGTCTCCACAGCAATTCGGAAAAATTTTAGACGTGGAGATCATTTTTAACGAGCGGGGCTCCAAGGTGGGTGCCGCCCAGAGGCCGCCACCATTACAGCGCCCGCTGTAGGTCCCGCCAGGCTAACGCGTGACATGTGCGCTTCCTTCCTGGAGAGCTGCGCGCCCGAGGACCCCTGAGCGACACGGGTGCTTGTATTCCCCTCCTCCACCCTCCCCGACCCACTGTCTGTGTTGTGGTTGCTGCTGCTGCCGACGCCTCTTTCTCTCTGAGCTGCCTGGACCTCTGTGTGTGCCCAGACTCCCGGTTCCTCCTCCTCGTCCCTCGGGGCAGGGCCTGCCTGGGAGTCAGCCCCGAGGCTGGGGGCGGGGCTGCGGGGCCGGCAGGCGGGCAGGCGCCCCAGCTGAGATGGGCCCTGCTCTCTGCTCGGGAAGACACTGTCCCCCCAACCAGGCTGCCCCGCTCAGGTCCGCTAACCCAGCCTTCGCTTAGGGCAACAGCCCTGGACCCTGGCAGGGCCAGTGTCTCCTGTAGCTTTGGCCTGTCCCCCTTGGAGAGGCCGGCTGGTGAGCTCAGGCCCCCCAGGCCAAGCCAGAGGCTGCCCCGCCCCAGGCCGTGCCCCCCCTGGGTGCCCTCTGGTGGCCCTGGGACAAACCTCCTGGGACAGGCCTCCTGGGACAGGCCTTGGGGCTGCCTGAGTCTCTCCTCCAACTCCACTGACTCGACCCCCACCCCCCTCTCTCTCTCCTCCCTTCTCCCCCTCCCCCCCACCCGTACCTCCTTTTTCCTCTTTTTCTCATCCTGTGTCTTTCTCTCCGTGTCTGTCCCTCTCTGCTCACAGGGCTTTGGGTTTGTAACTTTTGAAACTAGCTCAGATGCTGACCGAGCCCGGGAGAAGCTGAATGGGACGATCGTAGAGGGACGGAAAATTGAGGTGCTCAGATAAGTGTGCGGGGGCAGGGGCGCCTGCCACCCCAGTCCCCACCCCAGGTCCCCTGCTGTCCTGTGAGCGCCAGGCCGGGGTCCCTGGGACAGGGGCTGGGCAGGGCCGCACAGAGGCCGGAGCCCCAGCCCGTCACGTGCCACCTTGTGGGTCTACATTTCAAGCCCACCCCAGGACCCCACCCCCCTGGCCCTGCTTCCTCTCTCCTTCCCAAAAGAGAACCCCACAACTGGGGGAGCAGACAGACACTGGGAGGACCCCAGAAATCACGTGTGCGAGGCCTGGCAGCTCCAAGGACCACGACCAGCGGAGGCTGGCCTGCCGTAGGGAGGGCCCAGCACTCCTCGCCCCTGCCCTCCCCCCCCCCATGCTGCCAACCTGCAGCTTCCCCTCCGCCGCACCCCCACGGGGCCAGCAGCAAGTGGCCAGAGCCTAGAATGAGACCCAGCCCAGGGGAGCAGCAGGAAGAGGAGGCAAGACCCCCCCCCACATCCCCACCTCCTCCCTGTCCCTCACCAGGACTGTGGCTCGGGGTGTCTGGGGGCTGGGCTACCCCACAGCAGAGCAGCCAGGGGTGGTTCAGAGGGCAGGGTCAGCAGCTGGCCCAGCACACAGGAAGGGCAAGGAGGGGTCATGGGGAGGGTTCCCAAAGGGGGAAGTACTAGAGGAACTGACCTTGGCCAGGCTCCAGCCCAGCACCCAGTGGCACCCAAGGCCGAGCCTCAAGGCCCTAGGGGCTGACGCTGGGCCCCTCCCCTGCTCCCACCCCCCGCCCCACTCCTGCTCCCTTCTGCAGATGTCTTCTCCTCCTTCCTGCCACCCCGTCCAGTCCCCTGGGCTCAGGTTTGGAGAGTAGGACCCACCCCCTCGGCCTCCACCTGCCCTCCCTCACTGGCCTGTCCCCGTGGGCACAGGGGCCCCCTCAGAAAGCTCTGGCCTCGGGGGTGGGGCAGATGGGCCTACAGTTCGGTGCCTGCAGCTGGGGGGCCTCTGCCCACAGCCGCCTGGGCCAGAGACGGTCTTGGGGGCAGTTCTTGTGGCCGGCCTGAGAGCACTTTGAGGAGAGGCCACCAGCAGCCTCTCCGGTGACGTTGGGTTGCCAGGGAGAGGCTGGGGCTTGGTTCGTGGAACTGCCACGTGGAGGTCAGGGACCACTGAGTCTGGATGTAGAGCCTGAGCCGGGGCCCGCCAGGCTGCAGCCCGAGCTGGGAGTGATGACGGCCACTCCCAGCTGGGACGGCCAAGGCTTCCCAGAGCCGGGCGGCACAGCTGGGAGAGGAGGCCAGGCTGGAGAGCAGGCGGGGGCTCTCCTGCGCCTAGGCCTGAGTGCCCCAGGCCCTCCCTTTCGACCCCCAGCCGCCCCCCGCAGGGGGCCATAGAGAAGAGCAGGGCAGGACTGGGGCAGCCCATGGCCCCCAGGGGCCCGAAGCTCCCTTCACCCTCTCGCTCCCTCTCTCTGGGCAGGTCAATAATGCCACCGCCAGGGTCATGACCAACAAGAAGACTTCGAATCCCTACACCAACGGTAAGGGGCCCAGGACCCCAGGGAGGCTGCAGGGGCTGACAGAGGCCTGGACGGAGCCCGGGCTGCTGGAGGCTGACCTTCCTGAGCTCCGTGCCCCCCACCCAGGCCCCCAGCTGGAGAGACTCCCGGGCTTTCCTGAGCTCGCACGGCACGCAGAGGCCACGTGGACAGGCTGTGGGCACAGTGGGGTGGTGGCCGTTCCTCGGTTGGTTCCTATTTCTAAGCACTAAGGCAGGACCTGGGCTCCGGGGAGGTGCTCCATATTTAGTGAGTGATGGCGAAGGCAGGGACAGTCCCCCCGGGGTCTCGGAGACGCTGAGAGGTTGCAGCCACCAGAGGAGTCCCACTGGCCCATTGCGTGTGTCAGCTAAGTAGTCTCTCTGTCTACCTGACCGTGAGCAGATGGGGCCCGTCCTCTCTGAAGATGAAACGGCTGGCGCCGAGCACGGGCAGCTGGCCGAAGTGGAGGGAAACTCGCTGAAGGGAGTGAACTCCCCTAGTTTATTTAACCCCCCCTGGTGTTAGTGTTACTATTTACAGAAGGAAGAAGGGACCACCCAGGCCGGTCTCAGGCTGCCTCGGACCTGGGGGCCCTGACAGTTGCAATGGGCCGAGACTGACAAGTGGAGGGACAGACAGGCCCCTCGGACCCCAGAGTTGGCGGGTGGAGGTGCTGGGCCGAGTGAGGCAGCAGCCCAACCTCCGAGTGTGGACCCGGAGAGCCGCTGGGGTAGGACCGCGGGAGGTGGGCTTGGGTGGCTGCCTCCCGGACTCGGCTCCAAGGAGGCCTCTTGCCGAGACCAGTGGAGGCCGTCCCAGGAGATGGGAGTCTCTTCCCTCCTTCCCTGAGTGTGTGGGTTTCCAACCTCAGCAGTGCAGTGGGGCCCTGGGGGCCGGTGACGGAAGGTGGGTCGCAGGCTCGTGAAGAGAGTGGGGAGGGGCACCCTGTCTGGACCCCTGGCACCGGAAGCCAGCTGGGGTCCACCCCAGAGGCCTTGGACTGTGCACTGGGGCCCCTGGTGGGAGAGGAGAGAGGAAGGCTGGCCCCCCCGAGCAGCCAGCCTGGGGAGAGGGAGTGGCCAGGACTTGGGGTCCGGCCCTGCCACACACCAGCTCTGTGGTGCCAGCCTGCTGCCCCTCTGAGCCCCCACTTCCTCATCTGTGCGATGGGAGGGGGGACACCTACTGACCGCAGTGGGTGGGCTCTGAGCGAGTGGCGTGAGAGAGAGTGCTCAGCGGATGCTGTCCTGTAATCAGCATCCAAAGGCCCTTCCTCCCCAGGCACCTTCCACTGGCTGCTCTGGGGGCAGGCACAGTGGGAGAGCGAGAGAGGACTCAGCCCTGAGAAGAGGGGCCCACGGGAGCTGGTCCCGGGACACGGGCTCCAAGGCAGGAGGTGGGAGGGGGCTCCGGGCAGAGGCGGAGCTTCCGTTGGGCAGCCCACGTTTGCATAACACGCCCACTTTCCCTTCTTCATTCTCTCCCGCAGACGTCAGGGACCCCAGGGAGCCCCAGCGCACTGAGACTGGTGCGCCCAGGCACGGGAGGCCCGGGGCAGGCTGGGGAGGGCCGCAGTTCTGGAAAGAATCCAGACGACACCCAGGCGGGTGGGTGGGCGGCCCCTTCGATTAGGTCCCCGCGAAGCAGCACCCACTCGCAGAGGCGAGGGGTCCTGCCCCCAGGGGGAGAGGGGACTCCCCAGTGTACAGGTGTAGCGTGCCGTGGGGAGAGGATGGGGAAGACGGTGACTGGGATCTTTGCTTCTGTTCCAGGTTGGAAGCTCAACCCTGTGGTAGGCGCCGTCTACGGGCCTGAATTCTATGCAGGTAAAGGCTGGGAGGGTGGAAACGGGTGTGGTTAGGGGCGTGGCCTGGAGAGGCGTGGCCAGGCAGCGCGGTTGGGGTCCAACAGGGCCGGGCCGGTGGGTGTGGCTGCTCCCAGGCCGGGCTGTCCAGCCTGCACTCACCGGACCCCTTTTTCTCCCCCTTTCCTGCAGTGACGGGGTTCCCCTACCCCACCACAGGCACGGCCGTGGCCTACAGAGGCGCACACCTACGGGGCCGGGGCCGGGCCGTGTACAACACGTTTCGGGCTGCGCCACCCCCGCCCCCCATCCCAACTTACGGAGCGTGAGTACGGGCGGGCGCTCGGGGCGGAGGGCATGGAGAAGGCCCTGGGGAGTGTGGGTGGGGGCCTGGGGACAGCCGGGGGGTTCGGGCAGCCTTTCCGGAACTGCCGGGGCCTGTGGGAACCCCCACTCTGCCATGGGGAACCAAAGGCCACTGCATTTAGGGGCCATGTAGAGCCCCAGCCGGTGCCTTGACGGGACCCTGGTTGGCCCCGGGGTGCAGTGAGGGCCTTCTCCGAGCCCTCGCTGGACCATTTCCCTGGGGCTGCGTCCTCCTCCGACAGGGGGACGCGGCCTGGGGTAGAGTGGGGGGAGGGTAAGTGAGAAGGGCCCCTGGGCTCGCGGGAGAAAGGAGCCGACCGGCAAGGGTGTTACTCTATTGTTATACCGAAACAGGGCGCTGGAGCGAACGCTCGTTAAAATGCCAGTCCCGTGGGCAGGGCCGGCACCCTGCCCCCTCCCTCCTCAGCAGACGCCGGAGCCGGCCTACCCCACCTCCCCAGCGTTCCCACCACTCTCTTGTCCGTTTGCTTCCAGGGTCGTGTATCAGGACGGCTTTTACGGTGCTGAGATTTACGTAAGTGCGGCCCTGGGGCGGGGGTGGCCCTGGGCACCGCTGTTTCCCGGAACAGCCAGAGTCTCCCCGACGGTCCCCCCAAATCCTGTCCTCAGAACCCGGGGCGGTTGAGGGGGGCAGCACTGCACCCCTGGGGACCCCACACAGCCAGAGCTGGGTCATCTGAGCTCACCCTGGGAGCAGTAGAGAGGGGTCTCCCAGCAGCCCAGTGAGCCAAAGGCAGGCCCCCCCCCGACCATTCTGCAAAGCGTTGTATGATGGGGCGGTGCGTGGCTCCCCCACATCCCTGGGGCCACGGGTGCAGGTTGAAAGGCTGTGTCTCCCCCACTAAGCCCCTGTGCATCTCTCCCCCACCCCCACCCTGCAGGGAGGTTACGCAGCCTACAGATATGCTCAACCGGCAGCGGCAGCAGCAGCAGCCTACAGTGACAGGTGCCACCTGGGGCAGTGGGCGGGGCGGGGCAAGGGAGTGGTGGACAGGAAGCCTGGGGCCCGGGGCCGCCTCCTCCTGTGGGGTACAGGGTCTGGATAGAGGAGAGCAGGTCTGAATGGGCTCGGGGACCCCAAAACAGCAACCCCCCCTTCTGTAATCACTTCCTGCTTACATGATGGGGAGGCTGTGGACTCCCCCAGTTCTCAGGTAGCAGCTCGGGGGGCCCCCAGGGTGGAGGCAATCCGGAGTCTCTGCCATTCTTGGTGCCCCCAGGCCTGAGGCCCTCTGGCACCAAAGAGGAAGGGCCCCCGGTGCCCACGTGCCTCCTCCCAGGGGTGTGACAAGGCTGGGGAGGCCGGCTCCCATGGCGCCGGAGAGCAGCTGTGTTTTGTGGTCGGGTCCTGGGGGCCCCCCCACCGGGAGCAGCCCAGCCTGTTGGCCCTGGCCCTGGCACACAGTGAGCACTTCACGGGGGGCAGCGATTGCTCTCGTCCACAGGGCTGGCTCTGGCCCGGGGACACTGGGCCCTCCCTCCCAGGGACAGGCCGCATGCCCCCTCTCGGACCCGCACCTTCGACACGGCCACGGTGGCCCAGGATTTGTCAGGAGCAGAGCAGGCCCCACAGCCCGGCCCTGTCCCCTGAGAAGCTGGTGTTTCACACACAAAATAAACTGAGACGATCATTCAGGGGACACTGTGCCACCCGCCTCCTCGGCACTGAAGTCCCTTCTGCCCCATTCTTTCTGGGGATCAGGTTTTTTCCCCCTCCAAATGAGCCCTGTGACGGCCTTTTCTCTTTCACGTGGCACCTGGGAGAACAGGTCGCCCCCGGCCCCTGTCAGATCAGCACACTGGATGTATTAAGAGAGTGGCCAACTGCGTTCCAGACACTTCCTTCCAAACAGGCGGGAAGGGCAGCAAGGGCGAGGTGCAGGGGAGGGGCCTGGAGGGAGGGTGCTCGGGAAAGGTCTGGGAAGAGGCGGGGGACCTGCTGCCACCCTCACCTGCCCCTTGGCCCCGCACCCCTCCCCGTGCTGTCTCCCCAGTTACGGCCGAGTCTATGCCGCTGCCGACCCCTACCACCACACCCTCGGCCCCGCGGCGACCTACAGCATCGGAACCATGGTAAGGAGGCCTGGTGGGCCAGACTTTGGCCCCGCCAGGAGGAGGAGGGCGCCACACTGTGGCCTGGGTGGGTGGGCAGGCCCTCAGGGGAACCACCCCAACCTCAGACCAGGGCCTTGGGCCTGATGGCTGGAGGGACCAAGGTCTGGATTTGAGCTGGGGGCAGGGGGGACGGGGACTTGCCCCTGTGCGCCTTTGTGGAGTTAGGAGGAGGCGGGTCTGCTCAGTCAGATGGACGCCGTCTGGTCTTCCCTCTGGGCGGCACCCTGGAAAGGCTCAGCCTTCAGAGCCAGTGCCGGCAGCCTGCCCAGGCCCTCCCGTCCCACCGGGAACACCCGCGGAACCGTCCCGGCAGAGCTCCCGAGGCAGGCAGGGCCCACTCCCCCCTCGTGGGTGTGTCTGTGCCGTGGTCCCTCTGTGTCCTGTGGCCCCTGGCCGTGCCTCTTCCCCTGAGGAGGTGGGGAAGGAGGGCCGCCTGCTGTCTGAGCCACGCTCCGGCTCCGGGAAGTGGGGCTGCTCTCCCAGCCTCCTTGGTGGGCTTCGGGAGCCGTGGGGGCCCCCTGGTGCCCCCGCGTGTCTGTGTGTGTGTGTCCGGCCCAGCTCACTCTGCACCCCGCAGTCTGCTTCCTGTGCCCGCCCTGCCCCCCGACCCCAGGGGCTGTTCACACCGGTTTTTAGCTAGCTGTGCATCCAGCATCAAAGATGAAAACAGTTTGGGGGGGGGGGGGATAAGCAGGGAGGAGGTTCTGAGCCAATGCAGATTTATCCCCGTTTCCTTTGGTTTTGCTTCCTCCCTCCTAATTTTGGTTCTGTCTTTTTTGATTTTTAACAAGCCTCAGATATCCCAAGCAGCCCATGGTAACCGCTGGTAGCCACAGGGAGCAGGCCTCTCGGGGCCCCACAACCCCTCCCAGATGGAGGCCGCAAACCTGCGGCTTACAGGCCCCTTGGCTCCGGGATCAGCTCCGCCGTCCACGCAGCTGATAGCTGAAGGCTTGCTTTAATGCACAGAGGGTTCCCTCGTATGTTTTATTATTTTTAAGATTCTCTATTTTCCCCCAAACTTTTTTCTCTGGTGCTAGCTGTCCTCTTGCCTTTTCTGGCAAAACTGGTGGGTGGGGTGGGAGGTTCCTGCCAGGGCCTCCCCGACCCAGGGCCAGAGGGGGAGCAGGAGTGCCCAGGAGCTGTTCCCCCTGAGGGACAGAGGAGTGGACCCGGTGGCCACAGAAAGCTCCCAGAGCCGGGTGGGCAGGCACAGCCCATCCTGATGGAGCCAAGGCCGGGGGACCTCTGTGCTCGGAGGCACTCAGCCCTGCCCCACGGCAGCCCCAGGGCGCCCAGGAGGCAGGTCTCTTGCTCACTCCTCCCCAGAGGAAGAAGAAAGGGGCGGTGACAGGCCAGGCCTGAGCCGAAAGAGGCCCCAGGAGACCTCTGACAGCCGGTCATGCAGAAGCAGGGGGGCCGCAGACCCCAGCGCCCAGCCCGGAGCCCACCCGGCCCCTCCCGTGGGCACGCCCAGCACACCCGTTCTCCCCGGGGGCAAACCCTGGCGGGGGCAGAAACAACAGGCTTAGCTGTTTCTCTTTTCGGTTTTCCTTATTTTTTTCTTTTTGCGTTTCCCCCCTGCACAAAGGCGGTACTGATTGGCTGTTTTTCGACTTTGATGTTGCAGGCTAGCCTCTGCCGAGGAGGGTACAGCCGCTTCACCCCCTACTAGCAAGAGGCCCGGCCCCTAACAGCATTCACAGACTGTCTAGCACACACCAAACCCAGCAGCCCAAAGCCAGGCACGGCGGCCAGGAGCACAGGGCGCCGCCGAAGTCCATAGGCTTTACCTCCAGCCAGCGGGGCCCCCCTCCCGATGGCGCGCGTGTCTCTGACCCTGGTTACCCCCGTGTGTCTGAAACCTCAGTCCCCATTTTGGCTTTGTTGACGTTGTGCCCGCCCCACCCCTAAGCCATTTCAGGTACGGTATGCGCCTAGGGGGCAGGGGCTAGGCCGGGCAGAGGAGTCTCCCCGAGAGCTAGCGCTAGGGCCGCACTCCCGCAGGCGGCCCGTCCGCCGTCCCTGGGGTCTGCAGAGCCACAGAAGCAGTCTGGCCCCAGCCAGCCTCCCAGCCGGCCTCCCCCGGGGTGCTCGGAGCCAGGGTCTCCCCGCCGTAGGCAGGGTCACGGCATCCACAGGGCTGCTGTCACACAGCCGGTCACAGCAGTGGCGTCCATGCCGTTTGGCAGTCCCGCTGAAACTAACTTTGCTGATTAAATGTTATTGACGTTTCCTGCCCGTCTGCAGGGTCACACCAGCCTGTTGTAAGAAACCAAAGTGCAGGAAGAAATGTCCCCACTAGGCGGCCTGGTGGCCGGACATCTGTGCCCCCTGCAGTGTCCCATGGGGGCCCCCTGAGGCAGGGTCCCGGCCGGCCCGGCCCTGGTATTTGTGCCGGAGCCAAGACACCTCCTTCCCCTCCGGAGCTGGGGCCTGTCTCAGGGAGGAGGCCTGGCTGAACGGCAGGCAGGGCAGGAGTGGGGTGAGGCCCAGCCCTGACCGAGAGGGTGGGACAGTGGCCTGTGTCACCCGCTCACCTACAGGGTGCTGCCGTGCTCAGCTCGGCCCCCAGGAGCTCACATGCTTCCAGGACAGACGGGCTCTGGGAGGAGGTGCTGGCTGGGGGGCTGCAGCCCAGGGAGCCTCTGGAAGGGCCCGCCCAGACAGACCAGGCCCTGGCCACCAGCACCTTCGTTACAGGGAACAGTGGCATGGGCCAAGAAGCCCAAGCGGGCTACTACAGGTGCCAGAGCTGGGCGTCCAGGGGCCAAGAGCCAGCAGGGGCAGGTGCCTGCCAGCCAGGGCATCGGTTCCACGCTGCTGGGGCGGGCGGATCCACCCACTGCCCAGAGCCTCACTCCACCCCGTCCTGACCTCTGCCTTCCACCTGCCAGACCTTGTCTGCCACCGGGCTCCCTGCGGCCCCTCTGTGCCCGCCACCCTCGGCCCTAGAGGACACGCATCCCCTGTAACTACAGCTCACTCGAGAGGATGGGTCCTGAGAGCTAAGGGGGGACAGTGCAGGGGGGGCGTGCTGGGACTGCAGGGTGCGTGCCACCCCCACCTGCAGGGGCTTCCTCAACACTGCACGTGCTTTTCTGTTTCTGTCGTAGTGAGAGCTTCTGCCGTCTCCGGCTCGGACCGCGAAGGGCAAAAACAAAAAAACAAACAAAAAAATCACAAAACAAAAAACCCAACAAAAAAAGATGTTAAGATCCAAGCAACACAAAACCAACCGAACCAAGACGCATCCACCACCTCCAGGTCTCACGCGCCCGGAGCCGCAGTGAGGAGCCCCCGCCCGGCTGGGACAGCCGCCGCGCCCCTCCCGATGGGGCAGGGGCGGGCGGGGGGGGGGGGGGCCTCCGTGTTCTCTTCAGTCTTCCTTTCCTGGCCCCCACTCCCAAGGCAGTGTGGGGCCCGAGGAGGGCCGCCGGCCTCGCGGGGGAGCGCGGGCCAGCAGGACTTGACCTCTGTTGCCAGCCAACTGTGCCAGTGGAGGGCGGCGGGGCGGGGCGGGCAGGGGGAGGGGGCAGCTTCTCATTCCCGGGGCTCTGGCTTCGGCCGTGCCCAGTCACCCTGTGCCGCGCTCCCCGGGCCCCAGCTCCCCTCATGCCACGCCTCCAACGCCCGCGCCCTGCACGCCTGGGGAAGGCTTCGCGGGCCACTGAGACTGCAGCCGGCAGCCCCGGGGTCCGACCCCAACACCAAGGGCTGATGTGGTTCCAGAACTAGCGGGCCCCCAGGCACCCCTCCCTCCATGTGAGGGGGCCCCGGGCTACCCAGCCAGGACCTGAGAACTCCTGGGCCGGAGAATGTGACAGTGAAGGACTCGAGGCCGAGGACTTGGTCTCTGACTGGCGGTTTCCGGTTCCCTGTCCGGAGGGTGCCCTGAGCCTGGTCTGTGGGAGGGACAGCTGACCTCAGGGGACCTGCTGGGTTGAGCCCTCCCTGCTGCTGCCCTGCAGAGAGCCCAGGCCTGCAAGGGAGGGAGCCGGGGGGCAGTCCAGTGCCCCCCTGCACCTCGGGGTTGGGAGTCAGAGCCTGGGGGTCTGGAGGCCAGGCCTGAGTGCGGAGAGCAGGACAGCCTTGGGGGAGGGGCTGCGGCCGCAGGTAACAGGGAAAGCCCCCGGCCAGGCCCGTAGCCGCAGTCTGGACAGCAGCAAAAAATACCAGAAAAACCCAGGTTCCCGACGTGGCGCACCACTGTCTCCGGAAACCCAGACAGGAAAGGCCGACACCTCACTTTGTACTCTGCATCAGCTCCCGAAGCGAGTCTCCTTTTCTATGTCCGGTGTACAGAGCCCGCCCACGCCGCCCCTCCGCCCCACCCCGGCCCCCCAGGACTGCAGCCTGGCTCTGCCTTCCTTTCTTACCATTCTGTATGCTTCCCAGGTGTGACCATTCAAATCGACAGTATTATTAAGATTATTAATAAAGATTTCTTTCTTCAAACCAGGACAGCTCTCTGATTTGGTAGCCCCCTGGGCACAGAGGGTGGAGGGCACCAGAGGGGACTCTGGACAGATTCTAACGCTCCATCCTCTCCTGCCTGGGCCAGCCTGGCCCGGGGAACCTGAGCGGGGCCTGTGCTCCCACAGCCCTGCCTGGCCTCGGCGCCGGATGACCTGGGAGTAGGTGGCAGCAGGGGCCGCTGTCGCTGTGCTGGGGGCACCACCCAGCCCGCAGCACCAGCTCCACAGGTGTGACCCCCAAGCTGTGATCTGAGGAGCTGCCTCGGGGCGAGCCCTCTGCTCCAGCCGCTGGGAAGCCCCGTTCCTGCAGGGCTGGCATGGAGGAGCGTGTCCGCCATCCCACCGCCCCAGAGGGGGAGAAGCAGGGGGGGAAGCAGCAGACTGCGAACTAAAAACATAAAAGCCTTGGGCTCGGGGCTGGGACAGAGCCTCAGACTTCAGTTTATTTTCACAGGGTCGGGTAATTTATTTCAGAGCGATTACACCTGCGGGGCGGAGGGGACACGGGCTTAAATGCCGACGTATTAATTCCGCCGCACACGAGCCCTGACTGGCAGTGGGACTGGGGACCCCACTCCCGGGGAGCAGGTTGGCCTGCCTCTGCCACGCCCTGCTCTGCCGAGCTCCCTTCTAATTGCTTGCTCACTAGACTATGAGAAAATAATTGCCACTATAAATTTCCCCTCCTCTGCATAAAATATCCGGGGCAACCAGCAATTTAAAGAGGAGGGGGGAGGCCTTCGTGAATTAAGTTCCAGCTGTGTTGCCCACTTTGGCCGGCCCACGTGCCGACGCCCACAGGCCAGGAGCCCAGGACGGGTCAGGACCAGGGGCAGGCTGGAAGCGCGGCAGGGCCGGCAGGGCCTCCAGAAGCCGGGCTGCCGCTGCGGCAGCTCCCCGGGCTGCTGGAGCTCTCCCTGCTCCCCAGCTGGCGGGGCCACCCACTCGGGGCGTGAAAAGTCAACGTTCCCGATTAGGAAAGACGTGGAACCTGAGGTTGCCGTGTTGCGCTGTGGAAGAGGAGCGTGGGCACCTGGGAAGGTAGGGAAGGCGGAGGTGGAGGCCAGTGTCGCCCTGGAAGCCCCTCCACGTACGTCCCCAAGGCTGATCTTGCAAGCCTACCCGCCACTTGTTCCAAAGCCCGTTGGCGGAGCGGCAACTGCACTGCCACCTGGTGGCCTCTCCCCCTCACTACAGCACAGAGTCCAGTCTACCGACCGAGAGCGGGGACCCATGGCCGCTGGGAGGTGACCACAGTGTCCTGGCCCCTAGCACCACCCACCATCTTGTAGCAGAAGTCCAGGACAATAGGGGTCACTAGCCTGGAAGTCCTGGGTGAGAGGTCCCAAGAACAAGGGACGCAAGGCCTTTGTCCCCCCCCCCCCAGGCACTGGAAAGAAGCAGGTTGAGGGGCGTGGCTCCCCAGGGGGCCACCGCAGTGGCCCAGCTGTCCCCAGGGGGGCAGTGTGGCTGGAGAAGCCACCCCCAGCACTCAGAGAGAGCGAGGAAGGTGCTGGGAGGAGGGGAGGGGCTGCCATTGGAGAGGCTGTTGCTGGCACACAGGAGGCGCCTGCAAGCGCCCACCCAGGGAGCCCCCCAGAGCGGGGAGGGGCGCTGGGGTGCCCCTAGGCCTTACTGGGCCTGCTGCTCTCCAAGCCTGGACCCATGCCAGCTCCACCCATTGCCACCAGCCCAGAGAGACCCATCGGGACGTGGGCCCGGCCCAGGGGACAGTAAACAGGGCGCAACACAAGGCGGTCTGGAGGGTGGTGCCCACCCCCTGCCAGCCCGGCTCTGGGACCCCACTGCGAAGGGGAAGCAGGCGGGTCCCCGGGCACCATCTCCAGGGAGCACCCTGCCCCCGCCCCCAGCCCCTGCACCCCACCCAGGCCTCTGCTGGGAGCCTGCACCCTCAGAAATGTCCCTGGGGCTGCTCCGAAGCCTCCCCACTCATTTAAACTTGTTCCTATAACTGTTCCATCTGTGGAATGAAAGGTCACCATTCTCAGCATGAGCCTACGAGGAAATGCCCTTTATGGAATTTTCTGGACTCAACTTCCCCAAACCCTTTCACCTCTCCCTGGGAACTGTGTACTACAGAGAGGGACTGGACAGAGGCGGGGGGGGGGGGGTCCACGCACCTCGGGGGATCATCGGCCAGCAAACTGACTCCTCGGCTCCCCTGTACCCAGTGACCCCCGCCCCAAAAGCCACAGCACCCCAGAGCCCCAGGCCTCTGCCGAGTGGGGGAGCCGGCCTGAATGTGCGCTCAGGTGCTGGGCAAGGAGTATAGCACGGCCGCCCTGCCCCACTCGGCCTGGGGCACCAGGAACCCCTCCCTGGGGTCAGGCTCCACCAGGAACTCCACTCGGCCCTCCTGGCCAGGCCCAGCCTCTGCCACCACCAGGTCCACCACGCGGTACTGGTTGACAAAAGCCAGGCCCAGGAACGTGGGCTTCTCCGGTCCCGGTGGCCCCCCACCAGAGGGGCCACCTCCTGTCCCTCGGCAACAGTGGATCCGAAAGCACTGGACGTGGGTCAGGGGGTAAGACCAGTGCAGAGTACAGCTGAGCCGCAGCCCGGGCCGTGGGCCCGTCCCCTCAGGGGCCGCCCGCTGCCAGCAGGTCCGAGACACGGAGACGCCCTGCACCCGGGGCAGAGGGCTCAGCAGGCTGTACGCGTCCACCACCTGGCGGGAGAGAGGAGGCTCGGCAAGGAGCCCACAGGGGGTCAAGGTGGCGCCCTGGCACCCCCGCCCCCTCCCTGAGCCGGAGGAGACAGGACGGACGCCGCAGCTGAGCCCCCACGAGGTGTCCTGTGGACGCCTGACCTGGATCTCTCCGAGGCGGCAGACGAAGCTCTCCTCGTCCTGGCTGCCCGGAAGCCGGGCAAAGCTCATGAAGAGGTCCCTCAGGAGGCAGCCCCGCAGACTCAGCTCATAGCAGCTGGAGGCAAACAGGCCGGTCACGGGGCCGTTGTGGCGTCGAGCCGTCCGAGCTGGGCGTTCGGGGGCCCGGAGCCACAGCGGGAAGGCAGACCCATCCCCGAATGGGCCCCGGAGTCAGTGGGGACCCTGGACCTGAGGCACACCCATGACCGCCGCCAGGGGGTGTCCTGGGCTTGCTTCAGGGAGCTGCCTGCAACTTGGGTGGCCAGTCCGGGCCCCTTCCAATCCTCCAGTTCTGGGGTTCTCAGCAGAGGATCCCTCACTCCACAAGCCCCCACCACACTATGGCTGTCCCTGTTGGGGGGCTCCATGCAAAGAACAGGGACTCACCGCTGGACCCAGCCCCCGGGGAGCTGCTGGCCACAGCGGGTCGTCCATCTGGCCAGCTTGGCGGGGGGCACCCGGAGAGGTCGGGGACTGTGCCTGGAGCTTGTTTCTGCTGGGGGAGGAGACACAGGACTTGAGGGAGAGGACAACCCACAGCGGGGCAGGGAGCAGGGGGCCGGGGCCCAGGGTCTGGGCAAGACTCGCTGTGGCCGCAGGCACTGTGACCTGCCAGGGCAGGCGGAGGCCTCAGGGGAAGAAGACCGGGGTGGAGGAGAGGAGCGCGAGAATGCAGACGGATGCCCGAGAAGGGCCACCGCCTCGGCCTCCTGGCCTCTCCCTGACCTGGGGGATGTCCTCTCTGTCAATGCCATGGCCGGCAGGAGGCGCTCTCCCCAAGGGGGCCATGGGGCAGAGGTTTTGGCCTCAGTGATCACCCCGCACACCCTGGGCCCTGGTCGAGACTCTTCCTCCACGAGGTGTCCCGTGAAGGGGGAGGCCTAGGAGGCAGGCAGGAGCCACACCCGACCCTTACCATTCAACATGGAGATGCCGACGTCACAGCTGCCCACGTCCCCTGTGGTGAGCTCCAGAGCAACGCTGACCTTGGCTGTCCCCTCCAGCTTATACACCAGGGACAGGAAGATTTTGGGCGGCATGGGGACCTGCAGGGAGAATAACCTGGAGGAGGAAGGTCCCGTGATGAGGCCACACAGAAACTGCAGAGAAACCCCCAGGCAGCGGGGGGGCTCCGGGCTGCACGGCCACGCTCTCCCTCCAGGAAAAGGTGCGTAGGCAGCAGTGGCTAACCCCACCCAGGTCCTGCCCGCGCTGGGGACGGCCTTCCCCCAAGGCCTGATCCCCTCGTGGCCAAAAGTCTCGGTTCCGAAATCCTGCCCGCACGAGGAAGCTGCCCTCGTCAGAACCACAGAAACGGAAAGTGGATGTGGGCGGCCCCCAACAGGGCCGTGCCCCGGGCCTGCGAGACGGAGGGCTAGAAAATGTTTGCACACCAGCGTGCAAGGTACACGCAAAACCGGTTCACCTGGCGAAGTGTGTTATGTGCTCTTTACAGCAATACCGAGCCTCGGTTCCGTCCCTTCCTCCTCTGGTCTCTGAGCCCCTCTACCCGGTTACCGGGTCGGCTCTGACAATGGGGGGAGCTGGGACCCTCCCACCCGGCTCCTCCTCGCTCACGCACCCACCTCACAGCCACGTGTCCGACCTCGGGCGGGATCGCCCCCCGGATGAGCAGGGAGCTGCCCCCATTCCAGGCATCGGCCAAGCAGACCTGAGTCTTCACCCAGCCCCGGCCGTCCCCTTCCAGCCTGTGCTCTCCAAACAAGGGCTGGAGTTTCTGGGCACCTGGGTGGTACCAGGGCCCCACGGCCTCCTCCTGGAGAACAAACGCCGGGTTGGAGGCGAGCACGACCTGACAGGAGGAGCGGAACCACCACGGTCCCCTCAAAGACACTCAGGCCCCTGCCACCTCTCCCAGCCAAGACCCCAAGATGAGGGAAAGGGCAGCCCTTCACCACCATGTGGCCCTGTCAGGAGCCCCACAGCCCCAGTCGCCCGGTGTGGGGACACGCACACCTGCCCATAGCGGACTCTGCGAGTCCCCATGCCCAGGCAGAAGGAAGTGACGAAGGGCAAGGAGCAGATGCTGTGCGTGGGCAGATAGCGAGCCAGCAAACTCCAGAACCTGCAGAGACACACGTGGAAGCCGCAGCTGAAGTCCAGGGTGGGGACACCTGTCGCCCAGGGCTCACCCCCAGCCGAGGGGCTCGTGCACACCCCTTCTAGAACAACTGCAGCCCCTGGGCCCTGGACGCGAGGCAGGGTCTGGTGTCTGGGACCCTCCCCCGGGGTCAGCCAAGGTCGGGGGGCCCCGCGTCCGGCCTTGCCCAGTCCCTGGACAGCAAGGCCTGCAGAGGCGCCCGAGACCCCTCGCCGCGCAGCCCTGCGCGGAGCCGGACTCACCGGTCCTGGTTCTGGAAGAAGTCCGCCTTCTCCAGACACTCGTACACCCAGCCGGGCGCAAACAGGGCCACTGAGAGCCCGTGCTTCCGGATCAGCTCCAGCGACTGGGGAGACAGCGGGCGGGGATGCTGGGCGCTTCGGGAGGCCAGGGAGGGGCTGGAGCTGTCCTCTCCCGCCCAGCCCTACTCAGCTTTCAAGTTCGTGCCCTGTAGTGCCACAGACGACCAGAAGTGGGCGCTACATAGCCGGTGCCCCGCCCCCGTCTCTTGTCGCCTCCCACGTGACCCCTCTGGCGAAACCTCACTGGATTTCATACCAGCGGCCCCTGCGCTGGGGGGCGCTTCACTTCAGTCCTTCGCCCGAGCTGCCAGTAAAAGGAAGTGTTAGCACCCCCACAGACAGTACCGCCTGACCGAAGAAATGGGTGCAAGTCAGGACGTTAGGGAGCAGCTTGGCCTCGGGTCACCGATGTCGCTTGGTGCCTCGGTTTCCCCACCCTGGGAAGAGTAACTGCCGCCTGCCTTTCCCTCCAGCTGCCACGGGAACGCAAGACCCACAGCAAACAGGGCCTCGCAGGAGGCGCCGAGGCCGCCGCCCACCTTGTTGGTGTCAAAGCGGCCCCCCACGACGTTCCCCCGGGCGAACACGTCCACACCCACGTAGACGTCGGCCAGGCGCTCCCCGGCCTGGCCCCGCATGCGCTCCAGGTGCTCCTCCCCCCAGTTGTAGTTGGTGAAGATGCCGTCGCAGGAATCGAAGAAGACCCTGCGGGCGGCAAGGGCGCGTGAGGGCCTGCCCCTCACCCGGGGCAGCCGCGGAGGCGGCGCTGCCCGCCCTGTGGGCTCACCTGTTGCGTTCGTTCAGCTCGTCCTGCCATTTGAGCTGCCCGGTGGTCACCACGCTGTCGTACCAGAGCACCAGGCCGCCCGGGACCTGCCGGTGTAGCTGAGTGGTCAGGTACCGAAGGAACCGGGGCATGTTCCCCACGGCGGCTGGCTGCAGACAGACACAGAGACGGGACCCTCGGTGAGGCCCAGGGGTGCCTGGCGGGCGGACAGGACACCCGATCCCACCAAAACAGCCGGGGCCCTGGAAGCCCCTCGACCACGGCCACTGAGGCAAGTTCCAGCCAGATGCCCTTTCTAAAGCTGGAAGGGCACAGACGCAGTGGTCAGGAAAAGATCACTCGCCACGAGAAGGGAAGGTGTCTTGAGAGGAAGCCCCACAGGCCGCCCAAGCCAAGCAACACAGAGGAGGAGGAAGGAGCCAGAGGCAGAGCTCAGCCATGCTGTTTCCGGACACAGCGCTGGGGAAGCTTCCATCCCCTAGCGACGCAGACAGGAGCCGGCTCTGCCCGGGCAGCGAGGGGCAGCTCCAGTTGCCGCCACAGGAAGCGGGCCAGGGTGCGGGCGAGGAGGACAAGGACACAGTGGAGGGACAGCCCACAGTGGCAGGGCCTGGGCATGACTAGCACCACAAGAAAGGCCGTGCTCACACTCAGAGTGTTCTCAATGTTGACCAGCCAGCCATCGAAGTGCAAAAACTGGGCCATCAGGACCAGCTGGTCCGCTACTGCCTGGTACGCGTGGTCATCTCCGGCCAGGAAGGCTTCGCACTGCTGTCCGCCTGGCTTCCACTCGGTGATGAAAGTGCCTGAGGGAGGGACAGCGGCGAGGTCCGGCGTGGGCTCCCCGCTCCGACCAGCATCGCCAGCTGCATCCCTGTGACCGGCTGTGAGTCAGACCCCTGGGGCAGGGCCCAGCTGCAGGCAGCACAGGGGCCAGCGGAGGGCCGGGTGCAGGCGAAGGCTGGAGGGGTCGGCCACCACCCCTTTGTGTCAACGTGACTGTCCTGCAACACGGCCGTTGCTGGCTTGCTTCCCTGTTGCCTATGGAGGCTGCTGTCTTATCAGCAGCTCAGCAGCGACACGTGGCCCACAAAGCTGAAGACAGTCACTGTCCTTTCCAGGGCAGGGCTGCCTTCACCCGTCCTAACCTACCAAGGCGGCTCCCAGGTAACGCTCACTGGAAGCGGAGCCCAGCCCTGTCATTGCTGAGTCACCTGACAGGTACACTCAGGAGTCTGGCTGGGCCAGAGACACACCCTTGGCCCTTACCCAGCACGCAGACCCCGTGCCTGTGCGCGGCATTGGTCCAGCCCACCGGGGGGACGGTGACCATGTGGTGGCTGAAGTACACAAAGATGTCAATGTACTGCCAGTGGTAGAAGACATAGGCACTCGGGGCCGCGGAGCCCTGAACGAACCTGATGGAGAAACACAGCCAGGTCAGGGCCCGTGAAGCAGCAAGAAGCCATGGTGACCTCCACATCCCGTCCATCCACACCAACCAAATGCCTGCATACGCCAGGCGCCACACAGATACTGGGGCAAGAGGCAGGCTGCACCACCGTGCTGTCACCGGGAGGCTCAGTCTCCAGGGCAATGTGTCCACCTGGCCCGGCAGGCCCTCTGTTGGAGCCGGTGCCCAGAGGAACCCGCAGAAAGAGGAGCAGGGCTCCTGCACAGGCTCCGGGCAACGGGCTGTGCTCTGAGTGCGCAACTCCCGCAGGGTAGCATCCCTGCACGTAGGGCTTGGAGATCTCATCAGCCATGTGACACAAGCCTTCCTACAGCTGCTGTGTCCAAGGGCGTTCACCGGTCATCGGAGATCTGTGAGCTGATTCAGCAGCAACCCTGGGGGAAATGCCCCTGGCGGGGGAGTGGGACGGGCGTGCTGAGGTGCAATCAGAGTTCCAGTAAGGAAGAAGGAGCAGGAAATTGAAGAGCCGAGTTTCTGGAGCCTGCTGCTGTGTTTTGACGAACCCTCCAGATTCAGGCGCAGGCGGAATCCGAGGGTCTCAGAGCTGGCAGGGCTCACCCCCTCATTTTCCAGATGAGGCACCCAGGGCCCTTTCAGCCATGCGGCACCCCCACTCCACCCAAGGAAAACAAGCACAAAATAAAAGCAGGTGATGTCCCCCTTGTCCTCACCTGTCATCCAGGTACCCGCCCATCATGTCATGGCACAGCAAGGTCCGGGGCCGCTGGCTGCTCAGGGGGGGCTGCCGACACTGGGCGGGGCCTGTGGCCACGTTAAAGCCGTCCTCCACCTGGGGTGTCCAGGCCAAGAGTTCCTCCAGTGAGGACAAGTAAAAGCTGACGGGAGTGGTGGTGTCCTTGTCATAGTATCTAACTGGTCAGAAAAGGAAGCGGCGACAAGTATGGGATAATGAATGACGCTGTAACAATAGCTGTGAGAGAACTTGAGACAGGAAGTGGGTAGTGCAGCCAGGAAGCCCCCAGAGTGAACTCGGGACAGTGCCAAGCGCCTCGGCCTCTTACCCGGCAAAGGATCCGGGGTGAGACTGACTACTTCATGAAAGATGGCTTCCTCTTGCTCCTCCTGGATTCTAAGCAAAGAGGGAGTTTTAATTTTTTTTCTAAAGAACAGGGTAAAGAGAAAGAACAGGTGGAAGCAAATGGACCAGGCCCCATCCACACATATGGAGGCAGACATTCTCTGGCTTACACTTTTTAATGCAGACCATGGGAATGTGCGGCAGGCCAAGTACACATGGCAGCTTGTGCGAGCGACAGGCTCGGCCTCTGCCTGGACCGTCACATGGCTGCTACCCCTCCCGCTGGGGACGAACACTGAGGCCTCTAAAACAGCCACCCAAACATTGCCCCGGAGAGACCTGATCTACACCTCACTGGCTTTGGTGTAGCCCAGGAGCAGCCCGACGCAAAGAACCAGGCAGTTTAAGGGCCTAAGAGAGCAGGGGCGCCCTCCCTGCCCCGCCCTCGCTTCCCTGGTGTGTTCTGCGGAGCCCTGACTCCCCAGGGGAGGGTGGCTGTGGGCACAACACGGGGCTGTCGTGGAGGGTCCCTTTAGGAAAAAGAATGCCTTTGGGATGTTAAGTTGGGAAAAGCTGGATAAAAAATTAAACCGCTTTCATTTTTAAAAGTGATGGCTATTATTTTTAGAGCAGCAGTAAGAAGCTGCCATTCACTGGCCCCAGGCTGCAGAGGTGCAAGTCTCTAACCCCCCCCCCCAAAGCCACCTGTCTGTTAGCAGAAGTGGATGGTCTGTGGACACCCCACTTCCACTTTCCGTTTCTGTGGGCGGAGCTCCCCCTCCAGGGTCTGCTGTGCCAGAACACGGAGCCGGACCTTCCGGGGCTCCGGGCCCCCAGCGGACAGATTCCTGTGGAAATGCCACCAGCCCACATGGCTCCTTTTCCAGTTTCAGGGCACAGACCTCCTCGTGCCCACCAGCCAGTGACCACTGGCTTTCCACCGCTGTCGCATCTGAAACACCCACCCGTCTCACTTCGTGGGGTTTAAAATCAAAGCTGCAGGTGCTGTTTCCAGAAGGCGGCCACCTTCGCACTCACGCCTTACAGCCCAGGTAAGCGAATGCCCCAACGGGGAACGGCCACCATCTCACGTGTTTCAGGTCTTGGTGCCTTTGCCCTTTGAGGGACCTCTGTGCCAGTCCCTCAAACTAGAACACCCGGTCTCCCTCTCCACCCACGGAAATCTCCCTCCCTCCCCAGAGATCCAGGTCACAGCCTCCACTCTGGGCACCACCCCTTCCTCCCCAGAGATCCAGGTCACAGTCCCCGCTCCCCGGACCACCTCTCCCAGCCCGGCGTGCGCATCCCCGTATCAACAATCCTAGTGGCACCGGCCACCCCGATTTCAACTGCCACACTAGGATTCTCTGCCTAGACCCGCGCCCGGGGAGGCTGGCTTTACAAGTCATTGCACAGAGGAGACCGCTGAGGGTCCGGCTGCCTCGGGGGTCACGCCTGGGTTCCGAGACCCTGTGGGCGCCTGCTGCTGCACAGGGCGGTCTCTCTCGTGGAGGGCTGGCTGCTGAGGCGGCGACTGCGGCGGACAGGCGGTGTGGTGTGGGGTGCGGGGCCCAGTCTTGCACCCTCGCCTCCCTACCCGCCCTCCGGTCCCGGCAAAACAGGGCCACCAGGCTCGCCTTCCCCGCCCCCGCACACCTCCTCTTCCGCCGCCGCCCTTTCCGAAGCTCCTCGCTGATCGCAGGCTCCCGGGACCGGGGCTCACGCCGAGGCCGAGGCTCACGCCGGGGATCACGCTGAGCCCCAGGCGCCTCCATGACGCCGCCGGCCGCCCGACAGCCAATCGCAGTCCTGGGGACCGCTTGCAACCAGCCAATGAGACGGCGCGGCGCGGACGCCTGGTTCCTACTGGGCCCAGGCCGTGGGGGAGCTGGCGGTGTGGGACAGTGCACTCGCAGCCCGGACTTTGTATCGGGGGGCGGGGCCGTGGGGAGGGGCGGGGCGTCGTGGAGTGGGACGGAGGGGGCGTGGCGGGGCGGAGTCTCAGCCCAGGGTACTGCTGAGCTTGTTCTAAGACCTCTTCAGCCCTCACCAGTTTCCGTTTTCAGACGAGGTTCTCCCGAAGGTCACGAGGTCTGTAAGCCCTAGAAGTTAGATCAAAACTCATTCTTCCAACCCCTAGTCACAGATCACTCTCAGAAAAGGTGAAGTCATGGTTCTCATTTAGGTGCGCATGTGGACGAGTGTTGAAGATTTTATCCTATTCATTAGCAAAGAACCCAGTCGTGTCATAACCTGTTCAAAAGACCATCGATAAAGTGACCCAATTAGAGATCAAAAGCATTGAAATAATTACGTAACTAGAGGCAGAGCTCGTTTTTCCACAGGGTGGGGTCGCGGAGGGGCCCAAACCCCTGGACAGGTCAGTTTGCACACTGTGAGAACGATGCTGAGTGGCCAGAACACAGACCAGCAAGGGTGTGCGGTGAGTCTACCATGCATAGCTTTCCACTGCAGCGCCCATTTTTCTACACCTCCAAACCTGTGCTCTGCAGGGCCCCCAAGGGCCCCAGGCCTGGAGGTGTCTCAAAGATGGCACCTCTCTGGCATCTTGGACACAGTGAAGGTGACAGAAGGTGGCCTAAGCAGCCAGGAGGACAGGGCCTGGGAGGCCAGACTCAGGCTGGGCCCCACAGAGCCAAGTGTGGGCCAGCCCACTCTCTCCTCACCCAACGCCTCTCTGTGCCTCCGGGAGCGTCCCAGCTGGCCTGCAGCTGTCGTCCAAGCTGAGTGGAGTGGGTGTCTTTATTATCGTTGTAGGCTTTGAGACTTACGAGGCCCCAAGCTTCCATAAACCCCGAGGGTGGGAAGATGACTAAGGCTGTGGAATGGCGCCCTGCCGCGCTGCCGGGAACACTGGTCAGGGTCAGGGAGGAGCAGAAGACAGTGACACCAGGGAGGACAGAGGTCTCGAAGACCTGGGTCCCACGCCCACGCCGGCGGCGCTCGGTGGGGCACAGAGGGTGTGGAGTCATCGTCACCTGGTCTGCATCCAACCAGGTGGTCGGGACACTTGCAGGCAGCTTGGAGGTAAAAATAAGTAAACATTTTGTCCTCAGAACGAAAACGTTCTTACACTTAAGTGGCCCTCAGGGCAGGCTTGGTCTCTGCAGGGGAAAAATAGGCCAGGGCCTCCGTCCTTTGATCCTCTCAGAAGTCTGGCCTCTGGCCTAGGAGAGCAGGGAGACACAGGTCACCCTGCACACCCTCCCGGGCGGGGAGGAGTTGGGCCCTATGGCCCCTGCCGGCTGCCCAGATGACAACGTCCCCAGCAGCCCTGGCAGCTGAGAACTGACGTGGTAGCCTGCCCTTCTGTGCCAGACAAGAATGGCAGTGACATGAGTGAGTCTGGGTGTGCCTGCAGAACAGAAGGACGTGCCCTCCACTTTGTGTTCCCTGCTTCCTGCTGGCTGCCAGGTGGGAGTGAGGATGTGATGGTGGGAACCACAGCAGCCATCTGAGGTTCTTAGGTGGAAGCCACATGGGGAGATCACTGGGCAACAAGGGAGAAGAGGCCCGGGTTCCCAAGAGCACAGATCCCTGTGCTGCCCTGGACTGTGTGCAGCCTCTAACGTAAGGAAACTAGCCTCTGGTCTGATTTAAGCCAGTGCTGTCTGGGTGCTCATCTAGCTATGACGGGGAATACGGGGGTTTAGAAAAACTTCTCCAAACAATGGCCTGCTATCATTTGGGGCACAATCTTCGTAGCGTACTCTCTCTTGGTGCATTCCTCCTTCGATACAGCTCTCTTTTCTTTCCCTCAAACAGATGCCTCAGACCGGCTAGGGGGTGAGCAGACATCATTTCTAAGACTTTTGAAATGGGGCTTCCTTTTATGGAATCTTCGTAAGTGCTCCGCAAAGGCCTCATGAAGGAAAGGGTGCTGGGCTGGCCGTGGGCTCCCGCGGCCTCCCCTGCACACCCACGTGAGGCTGTGCCCGGCACCTGCCCGACCCGCTGCACAGTGGCAGCCTCCCGGGGCCTGCTTGGCGCCTCCACCTGGGACCGCGGACCTGCTCCTTCACGGTAAGTGGCGAACCTCCCCAGTAAATGCCAAACCACCACGACAGCTGGTGAACCTCCCGATAAAGGCCAGACCTCCATGACAAATGGCAAGCCCAGGATGCCCGCCCTTGCTGGGCCCCTGTATTACTGCTTTAACTGCACAAGCACCACACTCATTTCCTCCTTTCGATTATTTAAAGCACCACAGACACAGGGGGTGTCTTACCCACCTCCCTCTTGGTTTCCTTGCCTCCGCCCCGTCCTCAGAGACCAGTCAATCACCCCGACGCCGGCGGTTTGGCCTGTGCCCCTCCAGTGTTTTAGAGTGCTTTACACACATGTGTGTACCTGGAAATGCTCGGCCTTGTTTGCTTTTATAAAAACAGTATCGCCCTGCCTGGTGTGGCTCAGTGGGCTGAGTGCCGGCCTCCAAACCAAAGGGTCGCAGGTGTAGTTCCCAGGCAGGGCACATGCCTGGGTTGCGGGCCAAGTTCCCCAAATGGGTGCCTGCGAGAGGCAACCAATCGATGTGTCTCTCACACACTGATGTTTCTCTCCCTCTCTTTCTCCCTCCCTTCGACTCTCTCTGAAAAGTAAATAAATAAAATCTTTTTAAAAAACTTGTTTTAAAAAAAGGTATCATATTGTTCAAATTATTCTGTGTCTTGCTTTTTGCCCAGCAATATTTTTCAACATGAAGACACAGCCCTGGCTGGTGTAGCTCCGTGGATTGAGTGCGGTCCTGGGAACCAAAAGATTGCAGTTCGATTCCCAGTCAGGGCACATGCCTGGGTTGCAGGCCAGTTCCCATCCAGTGTATGGACGCATGAGAGGCAACCATACACTGATGTTTCTCTCCCTCTCTCCTTCCCTTCCCCTCTAAAGATAAATGAGTAAAGTTTTTTTATTTATTTATTTTTTAATATTTATTTATTTTTCGAGAGAGGGGAAGGGAAGGAGAAAGAGTGGGAGAGAAATATCAATGTATGGTTGCCTCTCATGCGTCCTCTGTTGGGAACTGGCCTGCAACCCAGGCATGTGCCCTGACTGGGAATCGAACCGTGATACTCTGGTTCGCAGGCCCGCGCTCAATCCACTGAGCTATGCCAGCCAGGAAGTTTTTTTAAAAATTAATTAACTTTTTAAAAAATGACACATTGATTTATATGGCTACAATTTGTTTATTTTTACTGTTATTTAATACGCTATCATTTTAACACATCACAGTCTACTTACCCATCGACCTACCGGAGACATTTAGATAGCAAACATTTGTTTTTCAAATGTTAAAGCAGACATCTTTGTATGAACCTCTTTGGGTACATGTTTTTTTCTTTTACGGAGAGACAGGAGTAGAGTGGCTAACAGTTATCACCCCCACATTTTCAGTTTCAATTGCCACTAACTGTCAGCCAAGGGGGCTCCCCGGATGTGCTCCCCAGCTCGGCGTCAGTGCGGACGTCACCAAGCTGTACGACCTTGCCCCCGCCTGCGAGGTGCACAGAGGTGTCTCGCTGCTGTTGGAACGTGTTGTTCAGCCACGTGGAAATGGCTTATTTCTTCTGCGACAACCCTTCCGGGGCTTTTGTTCTGCGGTGTTGCCGGTTCTCACTGAAGTGTGTGGGATTGCGCCCTGGGTCTCGCCTCGCACCTCCTCACGTGAAATCGGCACGCGTGCTGTGCACCTGGGGACCCTCTCCTGAGGCCCTGGGCGGTGCAGGCGAGACAGGTTCTGACGGGGCCAAGGTTACGGACAGCGCCCTCTCCGGGTTTGCTCTTCTCGCCTGTCTACGACAGCTGTGCCCACTTTGTGGTTATGAAGCTATTCGCCTGTGTTTCTAGCGAAGAATTGCTCAGTTGTCTTTGCTTTTCTTTCTTTTATTTCCCTGTTGTTTTTACCTATACAACTTCCAGAGGCCATTTGAGGGTAGATCTTCAATATTCCACCTTCCTTCTGGGCTCATGACGCCTCCAGATTTTCTGCCTTTCTTCCAGGGCCAAAGTCGCTAATGAGTGTTTTCCTACAGGAGTGTCTGTTTCGTTGAGGTCTTTGGTTGTGTCTAATCTCGTGAGTCTGCCTCCCTTCGATTCTGAGCTGTTTATTTGTGTCTTCTTTCTTTTCTTCTTGATGCTTTTTTGGTGAAGGACTGTCTGTCTTATTGTCCTTTTCAAAACACCAGGGCCGGACTCTGTTGGGTTTTGTGTGTTTCCTGTGTCTTTCTATGGCTTTCATTTTCTCTCCCCTTATTTTCTTTGGATGTACAATGTTTTGCTGTCCTTTTCCTGGTCTCAAAAGCGGGCCGTTTGGTGCTCTTACATTTAACCCTCTGTTGTGTTGTTCTGAAGGCCGCTGAGGGGCTGCATCACCCACTGTGCCCCCCAGGTTTCGAGAAGGGGCACTTCCACTAGGCCCGTAATTGCTGTTGGCTCCTCTCAAACCCAAACAGTCCGCAGTGTGTCTGCAGTCGAATTCACCAGCCTTTTCTCTGAGGGTTAGTACTTGTGTATCTTTTTCAAAATGTCTTTTCTTACTGCGAAGTCAGGAAAATACGGAATATTCCGTCCTCTGGCTTCAGAGTTGGGGTGCCTTTGGCCTTCCGATCCGCAGCTCACCGGAGTTATTTTTGTTTCCAGGGTCAGGGTCCGGCTTTATTTGATCACATGGACCTCGGTCATTCTGTAGTTTTTGGAAAGATTTTCCCGTCATTGCCCATGCGGCGTGTAGGACTTTTTTCCATGTTCCCAAGTGAGGTGGCCTCCAGTTTTCCTTTTTCCCATCTTCTCATCGGGTGTTGGATGAGATTGTGGCAAAAACAAGTCGGTAAATGTTCCCTTTTTCTCTTTCTAGAAGAGTGTGTAC